ACACAGACTCAATGACAGACACACATTCACTGATTTGACACACACTGAAAAACACACTTACTGACAGACACACACACACACACTCACTGACAGATACACTAACTGACAGGCACTCTAACTGATTTGACACACACTAACACACACTCAGTTACAGACACAGACTAACAAATACTCACTGAAAGACACACACTTACTGATTCTGACACACAAATATACACATTCTCTCACACACACAAATTAATTTTATTTCTAGCGGTAGGGTTTTAGGTGCATCCAGCCTCCCTACCTTTGGGAGATCTGTTGTTGGTCCTGTGCCTGGGGTCCAGTGGGAATCCTGGCCCTGGGGTCCAGGAGATGGCTCCCGGCATCACAGCAGAGTGTGCAAGGGAGCAGTGAAGAAGAACATGAAGATCAGTGCTCCCTCACCATATGCCTCCTCCCATACCACCATTCCTCACCGGACAAACTATAGTGCGGCAGAGTAGACACCTGCCATCCAGGTATGCAGGTGCCTACTCTGCTTTAGTGGGTATCCGCCAGCCCTAAGGTGGTCAGTCAGCCCGCTCATGAGCAATCGCAACCTTAGCGCCCCTTTACTTCCGCCACTGACTGCACTCTTCTGAACAGAGATCTTGGATGTCCCACCTGGAATCTGCTGAAGCCACTCTCACAACTTGGGGATTACAGCCCCAAATGCTCCTATCACAACTAACAGATTACTGCCTTCACTTACCACATCCTTTATAGATCCACTCTCAGTCCTTGGAATATGTCCACTTACTAATGTTCCTTCTTGCTAATGCTATTGTCACTGGGTATTGTCACATGTACCACCATATATATATATATATGCATTTGATGCAATGTATGAATGATATCATGTATGTATACTTTTCCCTAACAAAAAAAAAAATTACTTTCACACATTCACTCATTTGGTTACAAAGGAAACATTTTTAGTTGTAGATGCCTCTTGAATTTTAAAATTGGTGCTTTATATTTTTTATTTTATAAATGAAATAAAATTTTGTAAATGCTATTTTGATGTAATTTACAAATAAAGAAACTGGAAATAAAATTTATATTTTTTGTTATGCGTGTCTGTAGCAAGAGCATTGCCTCTTCAGATAATGTGACTTGATTTACTGCAAAATATCTATATATAAAAGGACTGAGTCCAGGTTTGAAAAAGGTCCTTTACTGGATTGAAATATTGTTGAGTTGATAAATTGATGGATGTTATAGCACTGAACACACTTGCAATTGAGATTTGATCCTAGTTTCTCTTATAACAGTTGTTCTGTTCCCTTAGCTACTGCTATTTGTATTGAGTGCTTATCTACACTACAGCCTTAACCTTGACAAACCCATGAACGTGGCGTTTGTCCAAAATCTATGGATATAATAGAATATATTTCAGGATATCGGTCTGCCGTGAAAGTAAAACTACAGTTTGGAGTAAAAAGTGTAAAGAAAAATATTACAACCAACTTTGGTAAATGGCGATAAACTGGTGAAATTAAATGCACTAATTAATTCAGGTTAAAGGGGTACTATAGTGCCAGGAACACTAAGCTGTATTCATGGCACAATCGCTCCCCCTGCCTCCCTCTTCCTTTTGCGTCCTCCCCTCCCTGTTAAATAAAGGGTTAAAACACCTTTATTTACCTACCTTATCGCAGTGCCGATGTCCCTCGGCACTGGGTCGCAGCTCCTCCTCTAATGCTTTCCAATGGGGACAAATCTGACTCTGGATGTTCTCAATCGCGAGGATGTCCAGCATCAGTTATCGGACCAAAGGTCCGTTTCGATCCAGAAAGCGCCTCCAGTGGAGAGACAGCCACTGTGGGCAGACTCAGTGCTGCAATGTAAACATTGCAGCACTAAGTGCAAAAGGGACACAGCACCCAGACAACTTCAATGAACTGAAGCGATCTGGGTGCCTATAGTGTCCCTTTCAGCACTGCCATTGTTTTTGTGGCAGCTCTGGGATGTCATTGATCCTTAAAATGGCCTTTCTTCTATTGTTTCCCTTTCTCTCTTTTTCTTAATTTCTGATCTATTTCTCTTCAAAACATAAGACAAAATAGGACAGGTAATGACAATCTGGACAGGTAATGGTTTATGTTGCCACTACCTGTCAGAAATCAAGGACTCTGCTTCTCATCTTTATAACTTCATTGATGTGTGTAAGCTCAGACTGAAATAATCTCTCATCTATAAACAGTTCTTGCAATCAAACAGGGACTCAGTACATAAAACACAGATAATCACAGCGCTAATTATCTTACTGACCTTTAAACAACAGACAATAACAGAGCCTCTAGTCTAGTCTATTTAAGGGAACACTAACACATCAGTAATGCAAACCTGTATCCCAATGCCGTAGTGTCCCTGTCCCTAGTTACATAAACCCCAGGAGAAATATGGCTTTTATTTCACATCAAATATTTATATATAAAACATAAGGTTGTTATTTTCCAAGTTTCTCATGTCATTTTAGCTGTGAATATCGTAATAATCACCCCTTCCTCCTTTTGTAGCATGGCACAGCTCACCCCAGCGCCGGAAAAGGGTTAATTAGCTTTCCATACAATTCCATACTGTTAGTAAAAAATTCCAAGTGGTTTATTTACCGAAGTCACCATCCAAGTCTATGGGAATATTAATAGATAGATAATTTGGATATTTTATAACAGTATTGAATCATTTGGAAAGCGTATTAAATCGAGGCCATTTTTAGTACATGCTGTCTGTTTACATTGTTGCTTACATTGTGTTTACAGTTTTAAATCTCCTCCTTTAACCCCTTTGTGACACATGACAGTAATTTTCCATCATGCATGTCCTACTGTTAAGGACACTTGACGGAAAATCTCTGTCATTTACTCAAGTTAACCCCAGATCGGCGCGATCGCACGGTAGCAAATAGCGAATAAAAATGCATTGATAAATATCACTGTATGATATGCACAATAAATAGCATGTTAGATAGGGTATATTGCTGTGTGTTTTAAACATAGTTCTGATTTGTGAATATATTTCCTCAGTTACCAAATTTCTTAACAAATCGCTACTTGATTAGTAAGCTATAAATGACTAGTTAATTGTATATGTCAGTACATTAGACTCTATTGGAAGTTTGTGTCTTAAACTGTCATAATAAATAAGCTGATAACTAAGAGCTTACACCCTTCCGTGTGTTTTACTTGCACTTTAGCTCTGGTCCAGACACAGCAGTTTTACCGTTATCTGTATACACGCTTCCTGCTGTTCCTGACACATTTGACCTTCACTCCGCTGAAATCTTTCCTGTTAGATTATTTTACAGAAGAAGTTCTAAGTTCTCAAAAGTGAGATGTCTATATACATAATAGGTATATTATAACAGGGAGTGTCATAATATGGAAAGGTCATGCTTTTCATGGGTGTCTCCAGAATCCCAATAAGGCTGCTTTTTCCTGTTACGCACAGTTTCCAATGATGTGATTTTCATATTACATGATCCTAAAAAGAAAATGTGTAGTATAGATAGACAGACATACAGACAGACACTAATATGCATAGACTATAGGAAGTGTAATGGTATTTATTAATTAATGACTTTACATCATAAAGAAAGCATATTTAGTGTAATGCTTTGGGGGCACCACTAGGGGGAGTGTGTAGGAAGACATGTGCTTCTGGCAGTGACATCACAGGCCAGCCTACTTACATTGAATAAAACCAGATGGAGGAGAAAACTCTGTCTGTTTGCCTGTACCTGACTGATCATGTAGCACCAGCTCTGACTTAGCCCCAGCCCTTTGGCTGGGGCCTTGTAAGTAATATGTTTGTATTGTAACAGTTAGCAATTGTAATAGCCTTAGCAACCAATAGTGTTTTGTGTAGTATTGTATTGTATAATTATTGAAATTGACATTCCGCTAGCATCTGTTTATTTATTATAGTTATATTAAATATACATTTAATATTACAACGTTTTGTGTATTTTCTATCCACATATTCGACCATAATACCATGAATTATAAAAATATTAATGTTGTTCCGTATTGCTTAATTATTATGTATTAAGAGATTAATATTCATATTTAGGTCACACCACAACATTTGGCGTAGTCGGCAGGATTATGCTTGAATATTGGGGAAAATATAAATGTTATGCATTTTGCTTAAATCATACTGTAAATTGTCTGTCTGTATACAAATGAATAAATGAATGATGATTTGGTTTTAATGGAATGAATGCAGATAGCAGATAGGATTTAGATATTAGTTTTTTAAGGTATCTCTTGTTGTAGAACATAGTGATGAATTATTGTGTTGCTTGTTACGTTTTACCAACCTTTGGTCATTTTTATATATAAAACAAAAAACAATTTTACTTTTTGTCTGACCATGTGGATTTTAATCCACCATTGACCACATGGTGTGAATGAGTTGAGGCCTAGTTTCATTGTTTGCTACCATTTGCATAGGAAAAGACTTTTCACTAAACTAGTTCACCAGGTTTTATTGCTAAATTTGACCCTGTTTGTGTACTAATTTACATTTGTTTGGCATTCATGGATTTGTCTAGTTGAAAAGAGATTTGGACAAAATGTATTAAATTAGTAGTTACGAAAAAGATACGTTTAGTAAAGCAGATTCAGTGAATAATAGATTTATGTGTGCGTATACACAGAATATTAGTATAAATATATATGATTTTGACTCATGAAGGAGAGACCACCTTTTTAACAGCTGTGTGACCATGCTTTTCAGCTACAGCTTGGGGAGAATTTGTCCTTGTTGGGGGTGGGTAGTCTTGCCTGTATGAGAAAAAATAAACTGCATTGTTTTGTAAATGTAATTGCCTAAGCTAATCAATTTGTGGAGTGTTTTTCAGCTTTATTATCCAGGACTAAGGAATTACTGGACATATGCAGGAACTGGTAACAAATGAACTGAAAAAATGGTAAAATAATTCCTTTGTCCTATTTAGTCTGAATATTTTAACAAGTTAGCATTTTTAACAAAGTAAGTGTAGGGGCTCAGATTAAGATTTATATTATTTTAGAAGCCATCTATAACTGATTTTAATATTTCCATGCTTTGAATTAGGGTGTATCTGCCTAGCGGGTGAACCTCCATAACGTGGGCTGTGATTTTAGTTACAGTAGCGGGTGGGGAACCTGAGCTATGGGGTATTTAAACGTGTCCGGATAAGGGGGAGCATACCCAATAGTTGTTGTGCAGTTCTATTCTGTATTATTATTTGAAACCCTGTATTACTTATAAGTAGCGTTTTGTAACTTATTTGTAATTGTTTATATATATTGCTCTGGGAAAGGGATAGGCAAAATCTCTGAGAGACCAGGAAATATATTTTAAAAAAAGGGCGTATTACACTAGTGGTAGGGTGGCCTATCATGACCATAGAGACCCTTGGTGACTAGTTTTTGTTGTATATTGCCCTGGGAAGGGGATACGCTATTTAAAAAATTCCTGAGACCAGGAAATATACAATAAGTGATACGTGAATGTACTGGTTAAATTGCAGACATATTGGCCCAGAACCTTTAATCGAGCCGGAAAAGAGGCTGCTGTATGTTTGCTCCTCTATAATTTTGCGGGGGCGGTCACCCCCATGCGGAAAGCCACTGCCATCACAGGGTGGTTAGTTGTGCAGGCCCTTAGCCGCGAGGTGCAAGCATGTCCGTGGAAAGGCTAGAAATTAATAGGGAGTCACTCATAGCTGTCAGAAGTGTTGAACTTTGAGACATATTGACCTATATCCTTTCAGAGGCGGAAGAGGTGTTGTGGTTCACTCCTCTATAATTTAACCAAAGGGTGGAGAGTTATTAAACATGTTTAGGTTGGCTAGAAATGTGTTTCCTGAATTGCAGAGAAGATGCAGAAAGCAGCTATTAGCTGATTGTTTATTTTAAGAGCCAAGTAGAAAATTAAGAAAGTTACCTTGTTGAACAAATTGTTTATAAAATGAAAAGTTTAGGGAATGTATTTATATGTGTATATATGTATATATGCTAAGTAAAGGATTTGGCAGTATACGCTATAAGTGACAAGGAAAAGTAATCCTGATCTGTTTTCTTACCTTTTTCAGATATAGCAGAAACCAGGGGTGGACATTGGAACACAGATAGAATATCAGATGGAGACCAGTGTTTAAATGTTGACCTTTGATGAGCTATTGAATGTTTTATTTTATTGTCTATTTAACATGTCTATGCTATGATTTTGTGCATACTATTCTCTTATTTCTAGTGATTGTATTGCAATTGAAACCCTTATGTATTATTGTTGTATGTATGTATGTATGTATGTTTGCCTGGGAAAGGGGGGAATTGACCCATAGGGACCAAGGGGTATTTTTGTGTAAACCAAACTGGGGTGGGAGGGCTCTAACGAGGGAACCCCATTGTCCAGTAGGTGCTTGATTTGTGTCTGTGTAAAGTGCATGAGTGGTTGCAGTTCAAAAAACAAAACAAAAAAAAAAATAAGAGGGATAAGAGAAAGTAGGCATTTTGGGTTATCTATACATGTTTAAATAGAAGGGTGGTAAATAGGAATGTAATTGTTTTGGTTAATGTTTAGATTAAATTGGTTAAATACAGCAATGATAACGAGTGTTTAGATTAAATTGGTTAAATACAGCAGTGATAACGAGTGTTTAGATTAAATTGGTTAAATACGGCAGTAATAACGATTGTTTGGGTTAAATTGGTAGATACAGCAGTGATATTGTGTTTATCTGTGAATCAGGAGTGTGCTGGATGTGAAGAGAGGTGTGTAGGTATTTATCCAAACGCCATAGGAAAAAATATGGTTAAGACACCACAATCATATGGTACTTGTGATGATTGGCACAGTTATTATTTATGTTTGTGTTCGTCATTGCCTGTGTTTTCATTCAAGAACTTTCAAGCAAGGATATTTTAAGCAGAAGAAGAAGCACTGGACACTATGCTCAACTGTTGCTGTAAGGAGAAAAAAATATTGCAGCTAAGAGTGGTGAGAGTCGGAACAAAATGCATCAGGAGCAGGAAACTGTTACGTCAAGGTGGTTAATGGTATAAAGAAAGAAAAAACAATGTGACCACAAACACACAAAAGTCCTTGATCACATGAACTGTTTCATTCATCCCTGTCTCCATGCGTATGTTCTATGAGACTGTCGAAGAATAGAGTATCCAGTTTCCAGGACCAATGTTTGTGAAAATTCCAGGCACACAGACCAGCCAGAGGCTACAGAAATCGAGTCGGTCTGTGCCATGATTCATAGGTGTTATGAGTTTGTGGTGTCTAATACTATATTAAGCTCCAAAACACACCCTCACATGAACACAATATCATTGGTTAATCTAATAAAACATGGTTTGAGTTGTTCATTATTATAAGGGTGGGTATGTGCCTATTTCCCAACTGGTAATGCATGTGCTCAATGGTGAATATTTATATAAGCAATAAAATGTTAATGGGTAATAATTAATGGGTAAATGGGTATCGTTCTTCAAAAGGTGGGTTTTGTTGTAGGGCAGGTAGTGTTAAAATGGGGAAGATTCAAAATGTACTGGTTTTATAAATGCTTGTTTTATGACATAAGTCAAAGGGTGGTTTGTAATGGTATTTATTAATTAATGACTTTACATCATAAAGAAAGCATATTTAGTGTAATGCTTTGGGGGCACCACTAGGGGGAGTGTGTAGGAAGACATGTGCTTCTGGCAGTGACATCACAGGCCAGCCTACTTACATTGAATAAAACCAGATGGAGGAGAAAACTCTGTCTGTTTGCCTGTACCTGACTGATCATGTAGCACCAGCTCTGACTTAGCCCCAGCCCTTTGGCTGGGGCCTTGTAAGTAATATGTTTGTATTGTAACAGTTAGCAATTGTAATAGCCTTTTGTATAATATATAGCAACCAATAGTGTTTTGTGTAGTATTGTATTGTATAATTATTGAACTTGACATTCCGCTAGCATCTGTTTATTTATTATAGTTATATTAAATATACATTTAATATTACAACGTTTTGTGTATTTTCTATCCACATATTCGACCATAATACCATGAATTATAAAAATATTAATGTTGTTCCGTATTGCTTAATTATTATGTATTAAGAGATTAATATTCATATTTAGGTCACACCACAACAGGAAGATAGATATGGATATACATAAAGACAGATAGATTGAAACGGCCAGAGCTATGATATTACTTGAGACTCAAGCTATTGTAAAAAGAAGCTTTCACTATACTCAGTCAAACACTGATACAAACACTCACTCCTTGTCACCAGTGCTGTATCGTAACGAGGCCAAAAAGGCATTTGCCTTGGGTGGCATTTTCAGGAGGGCGGCAAAAAGCACCCCCCTCCCCCACTGTGTGTGTGTGTGTGTGTGAGACTGTCTGTCTGTAACTGTGTGTGTGTGTGTGTGTGACTGTTTGTAACTGTGTGTGTGTGTGTGTGTGTGTGACTGTCTATAACTGTGTGTGTGACTGTCTGTAACTGTGTGTGTGTGTGACTGTCTGTCTTGAGTGTGTGTATAACTGTCTGCCTGTAAATATGTGTGTGTGTGTGTGTGTGTGTATGTCTGCCTGTAACTCTGTGTGTGTGTGTAACAGTCTGCCTGTGACTATGTGATGCTGCCTGTAACTGTGTGTTACTGTCTGCCTGTGACTGTCTGCATGTAACTTTGTGCGTGGCTGCCTGTAACTGACTGTGTGTGTAACTGTCTGTAACTGTGTGTGTTTGTGGCTGTAACTATGTGTATGACTGTCTGCCTGTGACCGTGTGTGTGACTGTATATGTGACTGTCTGCCTGTAACAGTGTGTGTAACTGCTTGTAACTGACTGTTTGTGTGTAACTCTCTACCTGTAACTGTGTGTATGACTGCCTGTGACTATATGTGTGACTGTCTGCATGTGACTGTGTGCGTGTGACTGCTTGTAACTGTGTGTGACTGTCTGCCTGTAACTGTGTATGACTGCTTGCCTGTAACTGTGTGTGAGGGGGTGCAGGGATTTTGTAGAGGGGGTCAGGGGTTTTAAAAATTTTACAAATTTGTTCAATACATTTTTTTTAAAATGTTAAAAAAACATTTAGTAGGTTTTTTTTGTTTTGTTTTTAGGCTCCTATCTACTAAACAATTTCTTTTCTGCTGACAGATTTTGTAAAAATTTTTTAAAATACCTAATCTAGGCAAAAAACAATGGGGATTTAGTTACATTATATGATCATACATTGCATAAGCCTGCCACAACGTTACTGTACCCCATTCTTGGCAGGTCCTACTCTAACTGCTGCTTGCATTAATTCACTTTAGATAGATAATTAGACAGACAGACAGGCAGACAGAGAGACAGACAGATAGAGAGACAGAGAGACAGACAGATAGGGAGTTAGAGAGACAGACAGATAGGCAGACCGAGAGACAGCTGGACAAACAGAGAGACACACAGATAAGGAGACAGAGAGACAGACAGATAGGCAGACCGAGAGACAGCTAGACAGACAGGGAGACACACAGATAGGGAGACAGAGAGACTGACAGATAGGGAGACCGAGAGACAGCTAGGCAGACAGAGAGACAGACAGATAGGGAGACAGAGAGACAGACAGATAGGCAGACAATAAAACAATGTGAATTATAAACATCTGAATACAGTAAGCATAAAATAACAGCATTGGGCAAAATGACAAACAGAATATGGCAGTTCCCAGTTAATGCTTTTAATTTGTTTTTCTTTTGTTATTTTCTTCAGCAATACATGTTCATATTTTTCCACATCGTCCTGTGAGATAGTCCTTCTGCATTCCATTAAAATACTGCAAATGACTCTAAAGGTCATAGAAGGAGGTTGCCAAGACAACTGTTTCCCTCCGCAGTCCCACTTAAATAATAGCTGGAAGGCACTTCATTATAGCTTTTATTACTCTTTTAGAAAACGTTTGGATTGTTACTCTACATACAGTAGCCCAATGTTATCTATCAATCAGAGAGTTCATACTAAACAAGTTGCTCTTTAGATACATTTTTAATAATTCACTTGACTGGCAGCGTCAACCAATTTTTGTTCTGAGAACTATCTAACCTCCTTTTAACCCCTTAAGGACACATGATGGACTCAGTCCATCATGCTGGGGAAGCACTTAACGGCACATGACGGACTGGGTCCGTCATGCTCTAAAATTAACCCCAGATCACCGCTATCATAGGGTTACTGCTCCTCCGGTCTGCCTCGGTATTCGAGGCAAAACGGGAGCGCCCGATCGAGCTGTCCCTGCAGCTGTGATCGCTCTGACAGGCTGTCAGAGCGAGCACATGTGCTGCAGGGACTTCTGAGCCGCCTCCTTGCTCTTCCGCGTCCAGTGTGAGGTGCAGGAAGATGGATCAGTGATGATCCTCTTCA